TCCTCCACCCAAAACAGAGCCTGTTGAGTAACCAGAGCAGCTGTGTAGCAACTGGGCAGAGGGGCAGGTACAAGGCCTGGTCCAGTGCCCTCAGGTGCCATGGATGACAGCTCAGAACCTCTACCCACTGCCTTCACAGCGGTCCAGGCTTGTTCCTGCACCTGACCTGCGTGATGAGGTCTCTCAGGGTGGAGCTCAATCCAGTTCACTGGCCAGCTGAGGGGTCCCAAGCCCTTCTGTAAGGGTTCTGCAGCCTCCTGATTCTGAGCAGCATTAGTTACCACAGTCATCCCCTTCAGATTTGGCTGCTTGGAAGTGACACCTTCTGTACCAGGTTGGTAGAGATGCAGCTTCCTGCTTTCCATGGTCCACAACCTCCTCACAATCCAATCTTCGGCCCTCTGGGATCCCAGTTTAGAACAGTGGGGCCAGAAGCCAAACTAGTGCAGCCCCAGTGCCCTGCTGGTCTCCTCAGCCACCAATGTCAGCAGGACTCAGCCTTCTTCCTGCCCTCACAGCTCCCCTGACGTGTGTGTGTGCGCGTGTGTGCGTGCGTGCACACGTGCACACACGCATCTGAAGCAAAGTCTCCAAAACCAAAGCTCCAGTCATGATGGCCGTGGTAGTAGTGGTACATTCAAAAACCCAGAATAATTACGTCCACAGACTAAGACTACCCTAAAGATACCCGTAGCCATGTTCCAATCCTTGAAACTTGCCAGAATGTCATATTACATGGGCAAGATGATGAGGGGTCACGGTGAAATTATCTTTATAATGAAATGTTCTGGACTATTTAAGTAGTGTTAGTGTTGCCTAGAGTCACAGAAAGCGGACTAGAGGATGGAGAGGTGGTTCAGCCCTTAAGAGCATGTGCTGCTTTTGTAGAGGAACTGGCTTCGTGGCTTCACAGCCATCTGTAAGTCTGGCTCTAAGGGATCCAATGCCCTTTTCTGGCCTCCATGGGTACCAGGCAAGCCTGTGCTGCAGACATACACACAGGCAAACCACCATATACATCAGAAAAACCACAAAAGTGAAGTGTGAAGCCAGAGAAGAGGTAAAGGGGTAGCGATGGAATGTGAGATTGGCCTGTTTGTAGGCCATCCCTGGCTTTTGAGAGGAAAGGGGGCTGAGGCAAAGGCTATCGTGCCGCACAAAGCTGGAGCGCAAGGATGAGGGCAGTCTGCTTCTCGTCTCCAGGAAGCAGCATTGCCTTTCCGACACCTCAACGACGCCGTATGGGGCCTGCGCCCACAGACTCCATGAGGCACCAGTTCTGTCATACGAAGGTAAGCAGCCTGTGGTACTATATCAATAGTAGGAAACTGATAGACATCCTACCAACAGACTATGAAAGTAGCATCATCATAGTCATCTCAATAGATGCAGAAAAAGCATTTGATGAAATTCAACACGTACTCATGATTAAAAAAAAGCAACAACAACCAAAAAGCCTCTCCACAGTAGCAGCACATGGTGGAACATGGAATCCCAGCTGCTTAGGAAGCGGAGGCCTTCCTGGCTACAGAATGAGTTCAGCCAAGGTCCACCAGAGTAACTTAGTGAGACCCTGCCTCAAAACTGTAAAAGGGCTGGGGTTGTAGCTCAGTGGTAGACTGTTTGCATAGCAAGGTCCTTGTAAAAGAGCCTAGATTTGGTCTCCAGGGCTGGAAATTAGGCGTGGATGCCCTCTTGTAGAGTGGGTCTCAGATCCGACCAGAGAGCAGTGGCTACCCCCAAAATGGTGGTGCCACTATTTCACAGGGCATCTATCTTGCCTTTGCTCCCTGTACCCAGTGGCCTGCATAGCGGCGCCTGGCACTCAGAAGCTAGCTGGCAGGGAGGAAGCAGTGGGGTCAGTTCCAGCTGGATTTCTTTATAGCTTGGACCCAAGCTGTGTGGTGACTTCAGCAACAGGATCTTATCAATGAATTCTGATGAGTGCCAAGAGAAATGGCAAGAGTTGGAAAATTGTGGGGGCCTCTAGCGGGCTTCCTTGGCTGCTACCTTACCTGGCACTAGGCTTCTGTTGTTGACTCATTGCCTCAGGGCTGCCATTGTCTAGTGTTGAAGGGTGATCTACCTTCAAAATCTTTTTTTAATAAATTGGGTTCACAGCCGGTACGTGCACTGGCTAGTTTTATGTCAACTGGACACAAGTTAGTGTCCGAGGGGAGGGAAGCTCAGTTGAGAAAAATGAGAGCAGGCGAGCCTGCAGGAATGGATCCGAGTACCGTGGGGTGCTCCCTTTCTGGGTTAGAAAGAATGTAAGTGCTGGAAGACAGAGGGAGGCCCTGTGAAATGTCTTCCAAGCACAACATGGCTGTGCCAATCAGCAGTTCACAGCATGCTGGGAGCCTTTAGAACAGAGAGAGGGTGGGGCCAGAAATAGCTGTGGAGGTTGGTCCCCTAATGTCCTTGGGTGTCTGTGTCGCCATATCTCCTGCAGACCACACCCCCTTCTGTTTCAGCCATTTAAAAATTAATGCCAGAAGTTTAAAGCACCCAATTGAAACTGTATGTAAACATACATGGGGAACAAAGAAACTAAAATGTACCCCCCAGAGCATTTGGGGCGCTAGCCTTTGGAAGTGAATCTTCTAGAAGCCTAGGTGCCAGCACAATAAACTATCACCTGGAAGCTAAAGCCTCAGTGTCCCTCCTCTGCCCGAATGTCCCCGACGACAGCAGCTGTGTGGGTGGGGCAGGGGCTCAGGGCCCCACTGTGAGGAACTCATCTTTTGGTAATATACTCTAGGAGAGAAGAAGGGCACAGCATCTGGCCTGTAACCACTGGAGCATGTCAGGCTTTGATGGTGAAACCCAGGGCCACACAGATGGCCCTAGACAAATTCTAGAGTACCCTAGACAAAACTAGAGATTTGTAAGGAAGTGGGGATGACAAGGCAGAAGATGATTAAGAGGGGTCAAGTAACCAGAATATATGATGTATATATAAAATAAATTTTTATATATGTGAAGAAATTATATATATATACATATATGTGCATTTATGAAAATCACCAAAGGAAAAATTAAAGAACTCAAAAGAACTTTGTCAACCCAATGAAGGGTACTTCAAAAGAAACTATAGTTAACACTATATTTTTTGTTAGCACCATATTTAATGAAAAACTTGTTTAATTCAGCATTGAGCAGGAATGAATCAATGCGTGAGGCGAGAACGGTCGGTGGCAGAGGTAAAGGAGAGCCACATCTTCACAGGTGTTCACTGGTCAAAGGAAAATCTCACCAGTCCAAAAGACTTGAATTTGATGGGATCAGAGAGACCGAGACCGTGAGTCTCACGTGACATTTGACACCAGCTCTAGAAGTCCTTCTACTTGGGGTTTTGGGCTTTTTAGACAGGGGCTCACTGGAACTCACTCTGTAGCCCAGGCTAGCCTGAAACTCAGACCCACCTCTGCTTCCCGAGTGCTGGGATTAAAGGCAGGCAACCACCATTCCCAGCTTTACAATTCCTTCTTAAAATACCAGTTTTAGCCAGTTTTTGACACCCTCTGTTTCAGTGGGAGCACCTGTGTCTCCTAGCCTGTGGTCTGCTTCTGAATGCTTTCTTCTGGCTCTTCCCTTCCATCTTCCCTTTCTCTGCTTCTCTTTTTTTCTTTGTCAGTACATCTACCCACCACTGCTCCAAAGCACTGCTTTTGAGGTGACAGTCCTGTGTTAGGGATGGAGAGGCAGCAAGAGCACTGTGTGACAGGAAGATTGGGGCTCAATCGCCAGCACCCACATGACAATCTGGGCACAGTCTCAAACCGAACTAAAGGGGCAGTAGGGTAACTGAGGCTTGGTGGCCACAAGCCTAAGGAAAGACAGGAGCTCCACATTCAGCAAGAGACATGGGTAATGGAGGAAGGGACTCAACGCGGTCTTGTGACCTCCACATGTGTGGTGCACACACATACACCAAAGATAAACAAATCCAAAGTCAGTCCTTCTCTCCCATCATCACCTCCTGCAACCATTTGAACTTTAACACTCAGAATGACCCTCGCCAACTCACAGTTTTAGCCCATTTTCCTCTGCCCTGTCTGCTGCCCCTCTTCTGGTTGGTTTGGGGGAGGCACAATGTATTTTTGACAAATGTTAGGAGGGCTTGTCAAGGACGGCATTGCCTGTAGAGGACACCTGGGCTGCTGACGGTGATAACTTGACAATTCTGTCCTACCTTAAGCTTGGTATTGAACCAAAATCAGTCTTCAGAAAAGAAAGTTTGTCCCAAGTCGGTTTCAGCCCCTCTCTTATCTGAATACAGTGCATAAGTATGGTGCATGTAAGGCTTCTGGTACCAGTGATCAACAGCTGCCTGTGGACCCAAAGTCTCTGGTGTTGATTCCAGATGCAGAGCAATCTCGTGTGCCACTTGGAACAGAAGCCCCTCTCTCATAATAGATTTTCACAAACAATTAGCTTTATTTCTTACAAGACAGGTTTCACACAGAAAGCCTACATCCCTCAACACAAACAGTTCCAATCCACCCTTTTATGATGTATTCAAAGTTGATCCCTGATCCTAACTAACCCTTAAAAAAAACAAAAAAACAAAAAACAAAACACAGAACTCTGCAATAAAACAAGTTGATACATAGAAAAATTTGAAGTCATTTAAACCAGTTCAACGGGGAAGTCTCTGACTCAAGAAGACACCGTCGCACCATGGCCTCACACAGACAACAGGCCTCTGGTGGCCCCGGAGCAGGGACCAACTGAACAAAAAGGCAAAGAGCATTGTTGGCTTTCCTTATGGGACAAGTGGGGAGATGCTTACGTGCCCCCATGCTGCTGGATTTTAAATCCATCAGAATCTTTTTATGATCCCCCACACACATACACCCTTCCATCCCCACCAAAGTGCTAGTAAGTGAATCTCCCATATCTAGCTCCCAGCGCTGTTTCTATTCACTTACCAAATGTCACATGCCAATACATCCCTAATTGTGCTATCTCGTGCTTCCCCTTCGTGTCTAAAGAAAATAAGCTGTCGGGGGCAGGGTAGGGGGAAAACACCCAGCTTGGAAAAGAAAAAATGTAAGAAAAAAATGTGTCAGTTGTGGGTTTTGATGTCACTGCTTCCTGTGTAGCTAAAGGTAATAGAGATAGTCTGACAGCGCTGATGCTGGCTTTTGGCGGATGCTCTTCCCCACAAAGTAAGCCAGCCTATGTGCGTAGTGGCACGGAGCAGGGACTCGGATGATACCCTTTGGGAGGAAGGAAACAGAAAAGACTTTTTCTCAGCTGTCCAGCAACTCAAACATTGCAGGCGCTTTCTCCAAGTTTACATTTTCAGAGATGGTTCAAAATTGCTGTTTTAAAGACAAATGAAAACTATTTTTTGAACACACACACAGGGCTTACCGGCAAATTGTAGTACATGTGGCAGAGTCTGTAGGTTAAGCATTGAACCTGGTTTGGAGTCAGGCCCTTCGTATCATAGATGACATTATAATGCGTGGGTGTGACGGTGCCACTGTTGGAAGTCTGACTGACAATATAGAAGTCATACCTGCGAGAGCAGAGGGCACGGACGGACGTCAGCTTACTTTAGAAGGAAAGGAAAAGTCCGGAATCTGAAGCTAAAGCATTCAGCTTCTAAACTATGGGACTCCACTTATGCCTTTAAGCTTAGAAATCCATGCATCTGGTGAAACAGTTTGATGAAGAAAATTCATGAAGAGGAATTGACACAGTAATGCCCATGGGATTACAGTTGATAAGAAAATGCCTGCTTTGAAAGGATGAGGACTGAGTGCAGGCACACGGCACACAGCACACACACACACACACACACACACACACACACACACACACAGAGAGAACACAAAACAAAAGCTGGGTGTCAGATGACGCGCCTGGAACCCAGCACTGAGGAGATGGAGAATGGAGGATCCCTGGGGCTTTCTGGCCAGCCAAGTGCACTGAGAAACCCTGTGGCCAACAGTCGAGTGGGAGAGTGACGAGGAAGACACCCAAGCTGTCTAGTTTCTATGTCGGTCTAACCGTCCAGGAAGAGAGGACATCAATCGAGAAACGTTCCCCACCAACTTAGCGTGCGGGCAAAGCCAGTGGGCAGCATTCCCCATGATCTCTGCATCAGCTCCTGCCTCCAGAGAGAGACACATACAGACACAGACACGACACACTCACACACTGCCTGCTGATGCCTCAAAGCTAGCACCATTTCAAATGGTCATGTGTCTTTTGAAACACATCTCACCTATAAGGTTCTCACCATTCCCTAAGATCACTCAGAATGTGCTCAAACTCCAAATGGCAGACACAAAGCTGCTACGGTGAGCCATGCTCTCCTACCACATGGATCCCGGGAGCAAACATCAGGCTTGGTGGCCAAGTGACTTTACCCATGGAGCCATCTCATCTGGCCCTCGATGTCACACTTATCTGTGATTTCAAACTGTCCATACATGCACAACGGTTGCTTCTAGATTAATAATTAAAATGGCTCGAGGGTCACATAAAAACTAATCACTATTTGATCACAGACACGAAAACTGGATTAAGAAACTCAAGTGACCCCAAAACCAAACATGATTTCTCAAAGACTTTTCCCCGGCAAAGACTGCTTAAGACTGTGTCCTGACTTCAGCCGGAGTCATCAGGGGACCCCACAACCGAGAAAATGCTCCATAAGATTGGGCTGTCAGCAAGCCTGTAGAGCTATTTCTTAGTGATTGATGGGGAGGGCCCAGCCCACTGTGGTAGGTGCCATCCCTGGGCTTGTGGTCCTGGGTTCTATAAGAAAATAGGTTGAGCGAGCCATGAGGAACAAGCCAGTTAGCAGCTCCCCTCCATGGCCTCTGCGTCAGCTGCTGCCTCCAGATTCCTGCCTTTCCTGTCTGACTTCCTTTGGTGATGAACAGCAATGTGAAAATGTAAACCAAATAACCCCTTTCCTCCCTAGCATGCTTTTTGGTCACGGTGTTTTGTCAAAGCAATGGCAGCACTGCTTGTTCAAATACATCAGAAATCAACAGGGGGTGGGGGGGGACAAGGGGCAGGGTTAGGGCAGCTATTAAGTGAAGAATTGAGTGAGTCTGCTGAAGTCAGTGGAGAGCTGGCTTACCACTCATCCCTGGTCACTACTTGGTCAACAACAGTCCCTGAAGGTGGATTTGTAACTTCCTCTCCATTATCATAAAAAAACCTGGTGTTGATTCGTTTCTTCACCACAATGAATGTTAGTTTGACTCTTTAAAAAAAAGAGGACAAGGGTCATTCTGTGGGGAACATCATAGCTGAGGCAAAATCAGAGGGAGCTCAAAGGCCATGGGATCCCCTCCCCCACACAGCGGGGCTCCCACTCAGGCAGCAGCATCCACTCAGAGTTTCCCACAGAGGGGAAAGGTTCCTTCCACACAACCTCAGGGGCATTTTGCAGCTGTCCTAGGCAACAGACCTCTCAGATGAGGACAGAGAACACAGCAGGGCAGGCTGTCTAGATCAGAGGAGGGAAATGCCTATGCATGGACAGCTACAATCTCTAAAAGGAATAAGTGCTCCCACACCAATACTGGAACAGAAACCAGCATGGTGGTGCAGGCCCGGGGTCCTACCCACTAGGGGGACCAAGGCAGGAGGATCAAAAGTTTAAGTGGGTACAAGGCTCTTGTGCCCAGTACTGCAAGAGGAATAGGAAAAACAGAAGAGAAAGAGGAAGATGAAGAAGAGGGAGGGAGGGAGGGGGAAGGAAGAATAGAGAGGAAGAAGGAGAGAGAAGAAGGGGAGAGAGAAGAAGGGGAGAGGGAGGAAGAGAGGGAGGATGAAGGCAGAAAAGGGAAAAGAATGAGAAGGGAAGAGGGTGGTGGTGGAGGAGGAGACAATGACAGAGATGACCACGACATGAAAGGCAATAAAGGGGAAAAAAAAAATCTATGGAGGGGACAAACAATCTTCTGGCTCCATGAAAAAAGCCAAAAAGCATGAGGGGATTTTGTTTTCTGCACTGAACCCATGTTGTACCAAGTTCTTTTCACTGTGTCGGTTGCAGAACAGATTTTTCTCCAAATCCAAAGTCTGCCCCATCTACTCACGGGGTTCACACCCACCTAGAGGCAAAGAACTTCTGGAACTGTCGAACCTCATTTACCAGCAGGGCCTGTAATTGGCCATCCCCAACTCCATCCCGATATACCACCACGCTCTGGGGTTCCTGCTTTTCGTTTGCGACCCAGGAATCCAGGGCAGCTGAATGGGAATGGGAGAAGGTATGTGAACACACTGCAACCAGGAAGGCCAGCTTCTGTTACTCTAACACCTTCTAGATTGATCTTCTAAGTGCCTTAGCTTCCTGCAGTTTCACTATCTACAACCTTAGGATAGCCCAAGGTTTAACATTCATCTCCCCTGAAGTCCTGAGATAGACAAGTATAAGGCAGGGAGACTCTGCCTGGTAGGCTGATGGACAGTCCACTGTAGTCACTGCTAGGTGGATAGACATCCCTGACCCCATCCTTACCCTACCATCTCCCCACCCCTGATACACACAGACTAGGGAGACAGCTCAGTCAGTAATGATATGAGTTTGGTCCCCAGAACACATGTAAAACTATCAGACATAATGGGGTGTGTTTGTAAATCCTAAAGCTGAGCAGGTGGAGAAGGGCAGAGGCCTGGAGCTCCCTGGCCAGCCAGCCTAACCTAACCATGAGCTCCAGGTCAGTGACAGACCACCCCCCAAAAGCCAAGAGGATGGGTCCTAAAGAGTAACACTCGAGGTTGACTTTTGGCCTTCATATGCACACATGCATGCCTTCGCATGCATGCCTTCATATGCACATGCATGCACACACACGGAAATATTTTCAATCATAACCAGTGACCTGTGGGGACAGCGTGCCCAATTGTCGAGACTGCCGACAGGGACTTAGGTTCACCAGCCTCCTCAGGCACTAACCTTGCAGACAGCTCCGCAGATCACCGACAATCTCCTGTGCTGTATCCTGAAAGAGACACTGGGAGTGCCACCTGTTTACAGAGAAGTTGACCAATCAGAAATCTTATTTTTCCATTTGGATTCTGAATTAATTCACAACCACCTCTTCCCCAGTCAGTATCACCATCAGAAACAAGATTCAGTGAAGGATCTTGCACGCTATCTGGGCATTTGGTGGGTGGGAGCTGAACACACGCAAGCAGTTTGGAAACATTAACTGTGCCGTCGGACAAAGCAGCTTGTCTCTCAGTACCCACAGCTGCTGTGACAACATCCGTGTCCATCAAGTCACCCATGACTTTGCTTCTAGTCCCTTCCTGGGAGTAAACACATCTGGCCCTGGGGGGTCTGTCACATGACAGATTTGTTTCTTATAATCACTTGATGGGTAATTAATACCTCAGGACAGAGTCAACATTTCTGGCTTGACATTTTTACTGCCATATTCCCTAAATCTGGACATGGGACAAGCTCAGAAACACCCATTCTAGGACTGATGAGATGGTATAGTATATGGTCATAGTATATGGTCAAGTGCTTGCCATGAAAGTGCAAGGAACTGAGTTCAGATTCCGAGTACCCACGGAAGAAACCAGGCATGATAAAACCAGCTTCTACTTGAAGTGCTGGGGCAGTGGAGACAGGATGCTTCCTGGAGTTCGCTGACCAGCCAACCCAGTCAATGAGCTCCAGGTTTAATGAGAGATACTGCTTCAAAAAGTAACATGGAGAGTAATGGAAGTAGACTGTCAACATCTAACCTCGACATGCATAAGCATGCATGCACACACACACACACACACACACACACTAATCACATCAACAACTACTTCCCCCCATAGCACATTATTTTTCTGGTTCCAAAGAAACCTCAGAACAAAAGAACATTATTGGTTTGAAATCAAGAGCTATAGAGCATGGCATTAGCCATGGGGTGCCAACTTCCCATGCCTAAACAGATAGGAAGAGATCCTGCTGTCAGCTGACAGGTTTTATTGTTTGAAGAAATGATCATGTCACATGCCTTAGGTTGGTCTTGGACTGTTTACCTTCCTGTTTTGGTCACCTGTGTATGGGTCTACAGGGCTATGCCAACATACTACTACGTGTGCTTCTGGTGGATAGTAAAGAAAACAGTAAAGGAATCCTTCCTGATGTGGGATTCCCTCTGCATACTGTGAATATGTTTTATTATCATTGGTTAACAAAGAAGTGAATTTGACCTATGACAGGGCACAATAGTTAGGCACGAAAACTAAACTGAATGCAGGGAGAAAGAAGGTAGAGTCAGGCAGATGCCATATAGCTACTGAAGGAGAAAGCTGCTGGAACCTTACCAGTAGGACACAGCCTTGTGGTGGTACACAGATTAATAGAAATGGGTTCATTTAATATAAAAGCACTAGCTAGGACCGCGCCTGAGCTGTTGGTCAGTGTGTGATTAATACAGTTTCTGTGGATTTGGGTCTGGAGAGCTGGGAAACCAACCACAGTCTCCCATTTACAAATGGTGCCCACCATCTGGCATGGATCAACATAAGACCTTAAAAAAAAAAAAAGAGCTTCTAGACTCACAAAAAAATGGGAGTCAATTGGGGCTTCTTAGCAGCCACATATTTTCAGATAGACTGTTTTCTGATGGTGAGCAGAGGTATGGCTTCTTTAAGAAAAGGCTTCTGATTCAGCATTAGCATCAAAAACTATGTGGTTCCTTTAAGAGGCAGCTTCCTGGTTTGTGCTGGTGGCACAAATGGCTCTGGCTCTTTTGGGAGGTCCTGCTATGGAGCACTTGAATACAGATTGTGGGCAGCATGCTGCAAGTTACTTGGTGGCAGCATGGGCCAACTGCTTCCCAGAACTGAGATGGTGAACACAGCTCCCACCTGGTGGTTCCAGAGCTGGCAGTGAACATACCACCTCCAAATTTGACTGGGCAGAGTCAACAAGCAAAGTTGCAGCATTAGTTCTAACCACTCCGCTTAGTATTCTTAGAAGCACTCCTGGTCAGAAAACGATTACAGATACTCAATAAAGACAGATGCAGACAAAACAAATCAAAAGACCTCTAAATGGGTCACATTGTTGGATAATTGTACATGGCCTTAAGAGAGAGAGAAGAAAGAGTACAGTCAAAGATTAAAGGAATAAAGATAATAAAATAAGTAATAAAAAGTAATAGGTAAAAAAAGCCAAGTAAAGATGGAAAATATGCAAAGAGTCTGGATTATGTATATTATATTTTCTTTGAATTTTGTGACTGTGAATGAGCTAGCTACAGAGAGATATTTCATTGTACAGCCTGCTAAGTTAAACCAACATATACATATCCCAAATTTGGGTCTAAGGATATGTTACTTTGGAAAAGATGTTCTGCTTTTGTTTTATCAGAGGATTGAAACTTGTGGATTCCTTCCGGGCTAATGTGGTCTGGTGAGACAAGACCCCCAAAAGGTCTCCATGAACCCTAAAAATACTTTGCCCAACAAGTAACAGGAAGGAATTTGGAGAAAGCTATGCCCAAATTCCCAGAATGATTGCTCATAAATGTTTTCATTTAAAGGGGGATATGATATAGAAATGAATACTTTGCATTGGTATGAATCTTGGTCTACTGATACATATTTAAGGTCAATTTTGTTACACTGTGTATATGTATTTCTGCTCCTGTTTAAAGTAATTATGTTTGCAGCTCATTTAAAAAAATGTAATATATAGTTAACAGATTAATGGATAGTCATCTATAATAATCAAACTTTTAATTATGCTGGGTTTTCTAGAAATATAGAGATATATTTCAGTTAGATTAGTAATATTCAACACTTCAAAGACCTACAGAATATGGCATTTATAGAACTTAGACTTTTCTAGACAGTAGATCATGTCTGCTTCCAGCAGCACCAATTACTTCAGAGAAGTTGTTGGGCATTGAAGAAACTCATGGAATTTGCCTTCAGTGTGACAAAGCTAGCCATTTGGGCAAGAAATTGCTCTTGACTAGACTGCTTGATCGTATGCTATGTGAACTGGACATGCAGGATGCACAGAAAAGTGACTGTTGAAGAAGCTCCCTAAAGAAGGTGGGACAGTCCTTTGGGGTTCCTGCTTCATGAAAGAGTCTGTCATGGATTCTGCAGGACACAGAAGAAAGTGACTGACAAACTGCCAATATAGACGAAGCATTCTTTCAAATTTCCTGCTTCATGGAAAAGTCTGCCAGATATTATGGGCCTATAGGCTAAAGATGGATGCCCCAACATTACAGAACTTTGGGTGACTATTCAGGAAGTAAAATGTCTCTGTTAATTCTAGGGTTTTAGAAGTTGTTTACAATGCACTTTTTGTTTAATTAGACAATATTATATTCTTCTGCTGTTTTTGATGGAGAGGAAAACTAGATAATTATGATTATAGTGTTCCTTAGTTATGAAAACAAATTAGATATGAAGCTTTAGACTCAAAGAAATATTGTAACTAATTCTTTCTTGATACCTGTTTTGTGTAATTTTACTATGTTAAAGTTAAGACCTTCCTTTTTATTTAGACAGAAAAGGGGAGATTATGTGGTATTTACCTCTGTATGCTATGAATATGTCTTATTACTATTGGTTAATAAAGAAGCCGCTTTGGTCTATGGCAGGGCAGAATAGAGCTAGGTGGGAAAACTAAACTGAATGCAGGGAGAAAGAAGACAGAGTCAGGCAGATGCCATATAGTTGTCAAAGAAGAAAGACTCTGGAACCTCACCAGTAGGCCACAACCTCGTGGTGATACACAGATTAATAGAAATGGGTTAATTTAAGATATAAGAACTAAGGCAGTGGTGGCACACGCCTTTAATCCCAGCTGAGGCAGGTGGATCTCTGAGTTCGAGGCCAGCCTGGTCTACAAGAGCTAGTTCCAGGACAGGCTCCAAAGTTACAGAGAAACCCTGTCTCAAAAAACCAGGAAAAAAATATATAAGAACTAGCTAGGAACCTGCCTGAGCCATTGGTCAAACAGTGTGGTAATTAATATAGTTTTTGTGTGATTATTTGGGTTCGGGCTGCCAGGAAACATAAGTGCAGTCTCCAGTTACACCATCCAGACGGGGCAAGCTGGAAAGGTCAGTCTGGCTAGAGCAGTGGTTTCCAGTCTGGGGTCATGACACCATGAGAGGGGAGACAGCCCTTCACAGGGGTCACATAGCCCATACCCTGCATGTCAGATATTTACATTATAATATCAGTAGCAAAACTGCAGTTATGAAATAGCAATAAAAATAATTTTATGGTTGTGGGTCACTACAACATGAGGAACTGTATTAGAGGGTTGCAGTGTTAAGAAGGTCTAGAGAGAGGAACCCATTCCTCCTTCCACATGCTCCTGGAGGTTAGCATGGAATCTGCCTCTGGGGCTCACTCACATAGTTAAGTCTTCCTTGGTGCTGGCCACGAATGCTGCCACTGACTTCTGCCGGTTCACAATATCATGGAAACAATCAATTCCAATGAACATCGTCTTCTCCATCTTGATTTTTAGTTTTTGTACAAGAGATAGTAAGTTGGGTTAGAACAAAACAAGAAAAAACTAACAACTAAATGAAAGGGTAGACACTTGAGTTTCACTACAAATATGTTAACTCGGGAAACAAAACCCTACATAGGCCCGTGCCCACCTTCCAGAGACAGGACCCTGCATACGCCCGTGCCCACCT